GCGATGACCTGCAGGCCTCCTGCACGTGCCCTTCAGCTCCTCCTCCTGGCTCTCTCCTTGCCACACCGAGTCCCCACTGCCTCCCTAAGTGCCCAGGTGCTGCATGGGCGTCTCCAGGTGCCCAGGCTGTTTACAAACTGGGCTCCAGTGATCAGCGAGGGCGCCCTCTGGTGGCCCAGCTTGAGGGATACTAGGATCAGCCTGAGCCAGGGGTGCACCAGGCAGGCAGGGACAAGGGGCGGGGAGGCGAGCCAGGGTGACAAGGCCAGCAGAGGGGTGCTTTTGTGGCGATGGGGTAGGAAGAGGCTGGGGTGACATTTCACTTGTGAATGAGCCGTGGGGCGAGGAGCCGGCCAGGCTGAGGCAGGAGGGAGTGAGGGGATCCCTCAGGCTGTTGGCAGGGCCTGTGGGAAGCCGCGTGCCGAGCTGTCACAGCCGCAGTGTCCGGGACTGCAGGAGCTGGGCAGGGCCCCGGGAGGGGAGCCGGCCGAGTGGCACCGGGGCCCACCGTCCTGCATCTCAGGACCTGAAGAGCCATGCTCGGGCCTGGGAGAGGCGGGAGCGGTCAGACCCATAGTGACGGCGCCCGCATCAGGAGGGCCGGGCAGGCCCCTCCCCAGCGCGTCCCTGGGGGAGCTCCGTGTTTGCAGATGTCCAGGGGCAGAGGCTGTCTGTCGAGGGGGCCCCGAGGCCTACCCAGCGTCACCCTGACCTCTGAGGGTGGGGACAGTACCAGGCGTCCCTGGCACAGCCAGATCCTGGCTTGTGGCCGCTGCCAGCCAGAGGGTCCCGTTAGTAGCTGGCACTGACCCCGGGTGGCAGCTCTGGGCGGGTGGGCGGTCCAGAAGGGCCGCGACTGGCCTGGGGCCTCTGGGCCCGGCCCCCAGATGCCTTCCCGCCGGGCGCACTGTTGGTGGGTGGACACTAAGTGACCACGGCCAGCTTCCCGTGCATTAGCACCGGGCAGAACGACTGCCGAGCCACCTCCCTGCCTCGCATCCACTCCCGCCGCCGGACACAGGCGAGCAGAGCAGCTCATGAGGCCGGCGGGAGGCTCCCGGGCACTTCCTAGAGCGACCGCGTGAGGCCGCTGTTTCCCGGCGCATCCAGGGGCCTCGGGTCCGTCCTTTCTGAGCCATCACGCGGCCACCACCCAGCACCCCGCCTGCCTCTCCACGGTGATGCCAGTTAGGAAGTGCAGCTCTGACCGTTTCGGCTCCAGACAGCAAGCGGCCCTGTCACGGTGGCTCCCAGGCCCCTCCGGTCACGAGGCTGGCACTTCGGACCTCAGCTTTGTCCATGTCCCCCCGACCCCTTGCCCAGTCTTTCCCAATCCCTTCCGGCCTCCCAGGCCCATGGCGAATGCCTCCTCCTCCGTGAAGCCTGCCGTGTGCGTTGGAGGTTCCTGAGGCAGCGATTGTTCTCCCAGAGCCGGGCACTGGCTGTTTGCTCCGTGGGAACCGCGCACGCACTTGCGGAGGGCGGGCTGGTGGCGCTGGAGTGGCCGCCCCAGGCTCATCCCGGCGAGAAGGTCAAGTGCACTGTCTGGCTGTGTTCCTCCTCTGGTCTTTCCTCTCCTGATGCCGCCCCTCAGCGCTTCCTCCTCAGCTTTCTCAGCCAGGAGTTCGCCACCTTCCCTCAGGGGCAACCGGCCGGGCTCCTGATGGAACCAGGACTGACCCCTGGAGTGGACAGAAGGGGTGCTCCGCCTCTGGCCTCTGAGCGAGGCCCCAGAGGACCTGGCTTGTGGTCGTGTGTCCAGGGCCGCGCATTCTGGGCCGACAGGCGCTGAAGGAATAAGATGTGGGAAACGCAGAAGGCCGTCCTCATGCTCTTCTCCCTAACATTTCTGATGCCCCATCAGGGTCCCAGGTAACGTGGGCGGTGGCCCTCGGCGGCCCGTGCCCCGCTGTGGACACAGGCGGGTTTGGAGCTGCTTCCGGTCCTCAGGGCGCCTGGAGCCAGACTGGAGGCCTGGCCTGCTGGTCAGGGCA